TGACCCGTGTGTCAGCAGCTGCTGCTCTCTTGGACCCCAGGCCAAAGACCTTCAGGGATTTCACCTCCTATGCCATCAGAGGAGGCCCCTGGCTTGTGAGAAGCTGTGTGAAAGCTCATCTGGAGCCTTCTCCTCCACCCCTAGCCTTGGCACTGCCTTTAAGCCCTGGCCCCTGCGTGGGTTGGACTACCTGGCCCTGTACCTCACTGATCCTGACGTGGCTTCCCCATGTGCCTGGGGACTGCCTCATCCCTGCAGCCTGGACTGGTGTTTGGCAGACTGTGGCTGATCCTTTCAGCATTGTAGCACAAGCTCCATTGGTACTGGACCTGGTTGCCACTTTCATTGCTGAGAGACACCTTTGGGTTAGAAAAATGTATTTATTTGTAATATGGAGTGTTGGTGGTGCAAATGCATAATTGATAAATGTTGTAATTAGGCATTACATTACAAAAAAGGCTGTATTATCTCAATAATCACATATAATCAATAATTTCAATAATTACATATAATTAATAATACAAATAATTAGTTCAATAATGCTCATTACAAATGCACACAAAACTGTAAGTGTTCATTAGAGCAAATTTTTTTTAACTTAAAATTATTAAGTGAGATGAAATAGGCCACCCACCTCTATAAATTGCTTCTTGCAAGATGCTTTTGCTCAGGGATGAGTCCAGATGAACGTGTTGTCAGGTAATCCCTTTGCAGTCAACTAGGGAGCTGTGGGCAAACACGGGCTTTGTGGGCATGCTGCCTGCCTCAGCACAATGAGACAAAGGTGATGGGATGTACATTAAAAGCAGCCCTTCTAGAGCTGCATCACTGCTTTGCTAACACTCCCTGTTATGCAGGTGTGCTCCAGCTGCAGGTGTGGAATAAGCCCTTAGGTGTGCCTGGGAATGGTGGTCTGGAAGCACCTGCCTGAGCTCTTTTCTGAATCAAGCCAGCTGAACTATGCTCAGCACATGTTCTGTTTTCACTGGTGCCTCTGGGAAATGAGAATAAATTCTTGCTTTTCACTGGGTGCTTCTCTGCCCAATGACTGCATCAAACTTTGGAATGGTCATCTTCTTCAGAAGGTTCAGGGCACGTTCTGGAAAAACCCTGAAAGAGAGAGTAACATGAAATTAAAAGTGGGATAGAAACTCAAATTATGGGAAAAAGAATCACTGCAGGTGAGGGAAGAGCTGGTCTGGCAGCAGAATGCATGCACACATGAACTGAGACTCTGTATTAAATTGGGCATTATTTCCATAGGTCTCATCAATCTCTGAGTAATTAAAGTCCATTCCTGGCCTTTTAGGACAGTTCCAATGCCAGCTATCTATGGGCAGTATGTGAACTGCAATATTGTTGCAGGATCCAGGAAGTTTCAATATTGTACAGATGTAGGTGTGCATTACATTTCATGCTCTGAAATACAGTAGGCCTGTGAAAGGATGAGATTTTAAAACTGAGGTGCAGTTTTCACTCCTAAGAGTCCTCCTTTTAAAGAGCTTTGTCTCTTTATCTCCCTAAATTATGACTAAAAAAGAAAATTTATTCTAAGTGGTTTGACAGCATCAGTTTTGACTTGCCTATGCTTTTGCAGACTTGCACTCTCAACAGGCAGCTCTTGGAGTTGCAAAAGGATTTGAAATATTTTTCCCACTGTCTGGTGTTTGGTTTGGTAAACAAGAATCTACCAAGTGTTTCATGAGTTACTATAGATTTAACTGAGAATCTAACTTAGTTGTTCAGATGTGAATTCCAGATTAGGAACAGGAGCACTGGTAAAAACACCTCCTCAACAGAGCAGCTGCACTGGATAATTAAGTTGTGTGAGAGGATAAATCTTGCTTTACATAGAGAGAGCAGTACAGTCCTTTTGAAGCAATGTTCTCAGCCTCTGTGGCCTCATTGCTGACATAAAGTAACAAATACTAATGAGCAGCAGGTCCTCAGCTCTTTCTGGAGCTTTTGCTGACTCAGAAGTTACAAGTTTGAACCTTGTATACTCAGGTAGTATTGTTGTTTCCACATCCATTGTTTAATTTTCCTTTGTACTTACATTTCAGAAAGCAAAGCAATGTTTAGCTGTGGTGGAACAAAAACCATTTTCTGGTTGGTCACTATTCCTTCCATCAAAGCCTCTACGACTTCTTCAATCTCCAAAATCTTTCCAAGTCTACACAGGAAAGCAAACACAAGAGCTGCA